GCATTTGATGTATATATCCACTATTAGCTATTAATTAGAAGAAAATTGAGTTGCATTCCAGTCTTAGCTGTCAGGGCTGCAGTTGCCCTGCTGTCAAGATACTCTGACACAAATAGGGTGAGCTGCAATTGTGTAATAGCAACCCAAGGTGCTTCCTGAATCTCCGTCTGTTCAGTATACTTTCAGAACACTGGAAATAATTAGTTAGCAGTGGAAGATGAGAGATGTTGACTACAGAATGATGGACTAAAGCTTTTTCTTCAACTATGCTGTTACATCACAGAAAAATCCTCAATTACACAAAGCAGGGCTATGTATTCTCATTTAGTGGGTTTGGTACTTGACGAGCATTAAACTGACAGCTTTAGAATGAAAATCTGTAATGCCAGCATAGAGCTGGACTTAAATGAGTGATGGGGGGGGGGGGGGGGGATAAAAAATCCCCTGAGACAGCAAGTTCTTCCTGTCAGAATAGCTTCATTGCAACATAAAGCTGCCTTATGCTTTGATTAAATCCTGCAATCATCTACTGCTGTGACAGTAGCAGGTGATTGACATGAGGCTGATTATAAGCCCTTTTCCTGCACTCTCATTTTTGACTTGGGTACTTCTCTTTCAGAAAAACCATCCTGTGTTCCCCTGGGGAGCAGCTCAGCGGGAGGCTCCACAGTCCACTGTCCGTCAGCAGCCGTGTGCATTGGGATCCTACCTGGCCTGGGCGCCTACTCTGGCAGCAGTGACTCCGAGTCCAGCTCAGATAGTGAAGGCACTATTAATTCCACTGGGAAGATCGTTTCTTCTGTCTTCCGTAGCAACAATTTCTTTGATGGTCCATAATGAAATCCTTCCGTGTGTAATGTAGTGCAGTGTATCTTCTAAAGCCCTGATGGATGCTTGATGCATCCTTCTGCCCCAAATATAATCTTTATAGCTAACCTCTCAACTTTAATACACTCAGCTACTCCTAAAATAACTCATAATATTTCCCCCCCACCACCACCTTTCCATTTCTGGGGTGTATACTTAGCCTGTAAGAAGGGCTGCAATCCTAAACCTAGTAACTTAGTGAAGGCCTGCGGGTAGGGAGGAGAAAGTCTTATCTTTAAAATTTTTACAGAAAGAATGAGCTCTTATGATCTAAGAAGTTTGCACAAGACTAACAGGCAAAAAATACTCACTTGAAGCAGTGAAGTCTTGTAGAAAGAGCCATGTGTTCTGTTTTAAAATGCTGGTTTTATTCTGTATTAGAGAAATAGGGGAAGAACAAAATTCAAGCAGATGGTGAAGTGTAGATTGCCATGACACTGTAAAGAAGTTTGTGTTACATGATTAAAGATATTCTGAACGCATTTTTTTTATCTTGGCTTGTGCCATTCATAATTGTTCCCATTCCATTAATCAATTTCTGCACTACCCAACCAGCCCCTTCCTCAACCCAACCTCCAGGAGAGGTGCAAGCCAGCCTCATGTGAGTACAGAGGGTGAGGGGAAGCTCTTGTTCCGAGTGAACTGGTGGGAGCTGCAGTTGGCTGTTCTGCTCCAAGGCCATTGCTCCTGCACCTGCATTTGACAAGTCGGTCAGCTTTTATGCAGCAGCATCCTGACCAGCATGAGTCCAGAGTAGGTGCGATTCCCCATTGCAGCCAAATCTCTTTGTGCAGAAGCTGGGAGCTCCACATTCCTTTGCAGTCAGTGGGTTTTGAATTTGTTTTGGATTTAAGAAACCTTACTTAGGCATGTTTCTGGGTGCTGTGGACCAAGGAGCCAGGCAGGAGTAGAGAAGTACTGGCTGTGGAAGCTGAGGGCCCATCCTTTTAATCTCTGTATGCAGACAGCGTGGGTGGGAGGTCAGTGGGTTGGAACAGCTCAGCTGAGGCACTTGGAGGTGAAAATGCCTTTGTGACAGTCTCACAGCTGTCGTGCTCTTGGTACTGCACTTGGTGTATGTGATGCTGAGAAGACAGCCAATGGGTGCATACTAGTGAGGAGTTACCTGAGTGTGATGCTGAGCAACTGGTAAGAGCAGCTGGGATAAAAGAAGGGAAAGCTGAAGGCCTTTAGTTGGATTGACATCTTAGCTTGAGTGTTGAACTTCCACAGAGGAAACAAGAGGAGTTATGCTCACAGTGAAGCTATCCTTAGCCAAACACCCTTTTTATTTGACAACACTGTTCCACAATCAGATCCTTAAAACACTAATTCCTCCCCTGTTCTGGGTTGCCCGTCACCTCTTGTGCTTGCTCCAGTTGCTCCTACCTCTTCTGTAGCTACTATAATTATGGCACAGCTAGAGCTCTTGCTGCCTCCCTAATCCATTGGTTTTGATGATTTTCTTCGTACTTAGCTATGGAGTGGAATGGAAAGGGTGCACCAAAAAATGCCTGTTTCTCATGAAAATTGAATTTGTAGGAGCCTTGAGCAGTCGGTGTGAGAGATGAAGGTGTCTCCCTGGCATTATTAAGCTGTATGAATAATCTCTATTGAGAGAGTTGGAACAGCCTGGCCTGGCTGTGAACATGCTGGGGTCATTTTCCTGAGTGACGTTTCACACAGCTGCTGTGAAAAGGGCTGATTTGGATGTCTTCTTCAGGGGAATTGCCAGTCAATTGCAGCAGATGTCATGATGGTGGTCCACAGGGACTGCAGGTGAGATCAGGAGGGGATGTTGGACTTTGCAAAGCCAGGAGATGTAATTCAGTAAAAGCAGGTGTGGGAGCCCTCTGTTTTCCTCTTGTTCCAGAAACAGGAATAAGGCATTTGGGGAACTCACAGAAACCTTTGGGTGAGCCACCTCTGCTGTTCTCATGGCCTGGCCTGTGTCAACAAACTGCAGAGCTAGCGCAGCTCCTTGTTCTGTCAGTTGGTCCCATTTGCCTTGCAGTCAGAAGTCATCTGATAAAATACTTAAGGGCTCTGAGAGGCGCGCTGGGGCATGAGGAGTGCAAGGGGTAGAGGATAAATCAGCAGCTGTGGCAGTAACCTTGCCCCAGGGCTGATGTGCTGGAGAAGAGCTGGCTCCAGCAATGCCGGCAGTCTGTGGTGGATTTATTATTTAGGAAAAAACATGACTGCATAGTATGTGCTTCACCCCCTCCCCAGGGATAGCTTTGTAAATGGCATGTTGTCTGTGCTAGCTGTTAAAGCTTCACAAAGGTGGGGGAAAAAAAGTACACTCTACTAGCAGAAGAGCTTGCTGGCTGGTGCAGCTGCATGGGAGGTTCTCCTGTGGAAAGAAAAAAACACATTTTCTTCCAGAGCGACAGACTCCAATATGGAAGCTGAACTGTGCGTACAGCATCATTTTTAAGTGAGCCACCCTTTAAAGGCTGCTTCTCCATTTGAGAAAGAGCAATGCTTGTTGGGCTTTTTCCATTTAAGAGGGCTTTGCAAGGCACATACTTCAAGGAGCAGTCCCACCTCTCCCAAGAGATAGGGTCTCAACCAGTGCCATGCTCAGAGCAGCTGCACCACCAGCTTTGGCTCTGTGCTTTGGTTGAGTTGTGGGGCTCATAGAGTAGCCTGTGTGCTGGTAACTCAGTGGCAGTGGTGGAAACCACACTTTTCCTAGCGGTGGTCCGTGGCAATGAACACAGACAGTAGCTCACGTGCATGCAGATGAGCTGTAGGCTTCACACAGATGCCAACCTTCCATCCTAGTGCTTTTGCTAAGGGGGAGAAGGGAGATCAAGTCTGAGTTTGGAGTGAGGCTGGTGATCCCTGCACTGTATTCAACTTTCTACCTGCCAGCTTCAAAAGCCCTTAATCTAATTAACAACAGAAGCAGCAATTAGCACTGGAGATAGCATGTTGCTGATGAGCAGCCCAAGGGAGCTGCTGGAGAGCAGGATTTCATTATCCAGCCCATCTTCTCCCAGGCAGCAGGGAGCTTTTGTTACTCAGACTTGGAAAAATGTCTAGGGGTAAAGCAGCAGTGAACCATGAAGTTCCCTTTGCCACTTGGTTGTAGGTTCACTGACATTTGCCCCACACGCATGGTGTGTGCACGCTAACTTGCTGCCCTTGGCTCAGGCAGGCACCAAATCTTGGAATCACAGAGTGGTTTGGGTTGGAAGGGACCTTAAAGCTCATCCAGTTCCAACCCCTGCCACAGGCAGGGACACCTTCCACTAGACCAGGTTACTCTAAGCCCCATCCAGCCTGGCCTTGAACACTGCCAGGGATGGGGCAGCCACAGCTTCTCTGGGCAACCTGTGCCAGGGCCTCAGCACCCTCACAGGGAAGAACTTCTGCCTAAGAGCTCATCTCAATCTCCCCTCTGTCAGGTTAAAGCCATTCCCCCTTGTCCTGTCCCTACAGGCCCTTGTCCAAAGCCCCTCTCCAGGTTTCTTGTAGCCCCTTTAGGCACTGGAGCTGCTCTAAGGTCTCCCCTTAAGGAGCCTTCTCTTCTCCAGGCTGAACCAGCCCAGCTCTCTCAGCCTGTCTCCAGAGCAGAGCTGCTCCAGCCCTCACAACATCTCCGCAGCCTCCTCTGGACTCACTCCAACAGCTCCACGTCCCTCTTGTGTTGTTGCCCCAGGGCTCAACACAGGACTGCAGGGGGGGTTCTCCCCACAGCGCTGTAGAGGGGCAGAATCCCCTCCCTTGACCTGCTGCTCATGTTCTGGGGAGGCAGCCCAACCCAGGGAGGGGGTGGGAGTGGGTTCTGTGCTCAAGCACACACTGAAGCTGGGTCATGGGGAGCTTCTCCTCACCCAAAACCACCAAGTCCTCCTTAGGCCTGCTCTCAATATGAGAGCTGATGGGGGGAGGGTGTGGGGATGTTGCTCTCCCTTGGACATCCATATTCACCTCCACCTCCAGTAAAGCATCTTCCAGCATGTTGCTGTTGGTGGCTTTGGGATATTTCCAGGGCACAGTGAGCAGAACCACTCAGTGCAGTGTGAGTGGCTGGGGACCAGGACTGCCTTGTCAGGGTGACTCAAACACCCTGCACTGCTGACCTTGTAAGGTGCTCCCAGACCTTCCCATCTAGGAGACCCTTGTTTTAAATGTCCAAGTTTCTTTATTAACCTGAGTATAACAAATATAACATGTACACAGTATAAAAATGAATGCAGAGAGTGACAGATGTACCGGTACAATACAGATACATGAACTATACAATGACCAGTTCATTGAATGACAATAATATATTAAGCATTTCATTACTTGGAAAAAGCAAGTTTTGATTGTAAAAATTGTATCCTGTTCCACTGAAATGATACAAAGTACATTCAATACTGAAAAGTGACACAACAGAGTGGGATGAGGGCATGGCCGGGCTAATCAATGTCACCTCAGGTTGGGACTATACAAAATGAATCCACATGTTTCTCTGAAATGAGTTTTACGAACTTAGCAACTAAATTAAAAATTACAAAGTGTTTTGGGGGGGTATTTTTCTCTTAAAAGCATGTGGAACATGCATTTCCAGTAGGACCAACGGACTTCGGCAACATGCAGGGGGCGCAGCCTTGCACAGCTCTATGCCTGCTCCGAGTTGATGGGCGGCAAGTTTTGGTGCTTGAAGTACTGCACGACTTGCTGGGGCAGCTCTGCCAGCACAGCTTTGGCCAGGGTCTCCTTGGGGGCCTGCAGGCAAAAGGGAGCAAACACCATTGTAAGAACAGCCATGGGGACTGCCTGAGCAAATGTGGCTGAGCTGTCCCTGACTCCAGGGTGTGGCATTTCATTTAATGCCCCCTCAAGTCTACTGGCAGCCAGCATTTTATACACCTCTGAAGATGACATTCTATACTACACCTTCCCTCCAGGCGGTAATTCAGTGGTAGGAAGGAATAAAACATCCTGGTTAAGTTAGAAAAAAACTGGTATTGAGTATTTCCAGGTGAAATGGAAAAACACTGATTAGGTGCAAAAAGAGTGAAGATAAATATGGGCTGCTGTTATGCACCCTCTGGCAATCCTGTGCCAGCAACAGCATCTGACCCAGGGCTGACTCCCAGCTGATCATGATGGGCAGGCAATAGCATCTCATTTTGACTTTTTTTTTCTTCCTTGATCAGCTTTTTTCCAAAACACAAGGCTGGCCTGGGCCACCATCCCATAGAGGGTACCCATGCAGGGCCAGTGCCAGCATCACCCCTTTCCACAGGCACTGGGAGAGGATGGGGGGGAGTAGGAGCTCACCCCAGCATTAAGCCCTCAGCACATGGCACATGACGGGTGCGGAAGAGGCCTGGGTGGGAGACGCCAACATAGGACCATGGTGAGGGACATGAGCCCAGCATTGGCCTGGCTTGCTGTGGGAAACCTGCTGCAGTGAACTGGTTTTTGGTCTGACCTGCCTGGCAATGACAGGGGTGGCGGTGATGGGGGAATGCTCAGGTGGAGCACGCTATGGATATACAGATCACTGTTGCCCCTGCCTGTGCTTGCCTGCAGCACTGATTTATATGGTCCACACCAGAGCAGCACTGGAGGGATATGGAATCCAGGGCCAAGGTAAGGTGGGCTCTTCCCTCTGTCTGCCTCTCCAGGGGTTGCTCCACTTCCAGGGTCATTTCCAGGCTTGAGACCCCATTCCTGCCTGCAGTTACCCGCCGCTGCCCACACTCACGTTGCGAAAATCCCGGAAGGGCACAAACTGGACAATGTCACGCACAGCCTCCTCGCCGGTGTGGGAGCGCAGCACCCGGCTATCCCCATCCAGAAACTCCATGGCAGCAAAGTCAGCGTTGCCGACCCCCACGATGATGATGGACATGGGCAGCTTGGATGCCTGCACCACGGCGTGTCTCGTCTCATCCATGTCGCTGATCACCCCGTCCGTGATGATGAGGAGGATGAAGTACTGCTGCAAAGGGGAGGGCAGAGGGTCAAACTCAGTGGGATGCAGGTGCACCTTCACACTGAAGCCAGAGCCCATGGAGTGTGAGCACACAGGATACTTCATACATGGGGGGAAGCAGGTTCTCTGGGGATTTAGAATCACAGAATCATAGAAGGTTCTCTGGGCAACCTGTGCCAGGGCCTCACCACCTTCACAGGGAAGAACTTCTGCCCAAGATCTCATCTCAATCTCCCCTCTGTCAGGTTAAAGCCATTCCCCATTGCCGTGTCCCTGCAGGCCCTTGTCCAAAGTCCCTCTCCAGCTTTCATGTAGCCTTTTCATGCAGTGGGAGCTGCTCTAAGAAGAGAGCTGCTCTCCCGGAGCCTTCTCTTCTCCAGGCTGAACCAGCCCAGCTCTCTCAGCCTGTCTCCAGAGCAGAGCTCCTCCAGCCCTCAGAGCACCTCTGTGTCCTCTTCTGGGCTCACTCCAACAGCTCCACGTCCCTGTTACGTTGTTGACTCAGAACTGGACACAGGACTGCAGGGGGGGTCTCCCCACAGCACAGTAGAGAGGCAGAATCCCCTCCCTTGACCTGCTGCTCACGCTCTGGGGATGCAGCCCAGCACACAAGGAAGTTCTGGGCTCAAGCACACGCTGAAACCGGGTTATGGGGAGTTTCTAATTGACCAACAGTGCCAAGTCCTTCTTCTCAGGGCTGCCCCTTCCAGTCTCTGCCCAGCTTGTGTTTGCACTGGCAATTGACCTGACCCAGGAGCAGGATCTTATACCTGTCTTTGAACTATGAGGTTTGGTTTGGGAGCACAAGGTTTACTGCTCCTCAGGGCAGCCACCATCACCCCGCGTAGCAGCTCCCGGACATTTCAGGTATTCGCCCCATTTTTGAAAGATCAAGCCAACAACAAGCCAACTTCCACCCCAAAATGTTTTGCTGATTTATTAATTGAATGTACTTAATGACGGAAGAAAAAGCCTAATCTGTGCAGACCTTCTGTGTCACAGCCAGGAGAAGTTTGAGCGTGGGGCAAAAAGCTCAGGTTGCGGGGTCCTCATCGACATGTTGCACAGATGGGGAGCATCCCCTGAATCCCAGCCCAGTACCTCATACAAAGCTGTAGGTCTTACAGGTATGAGGGAGGATGCAGAGGGTGGAACGGGCTGGGGGGGGGGGGGGGGGGGATGCCACAGCAGCGGCATTTGCACCACTCCCCAGGGTGAAAGGAGAGTGGTTGAGGCCGGTCCTGCAGAGCAGGCAGAGGATGGGCAGATGGACAAATGGAGCATCCTGCTGGACTCAGCAAAACAATTCTGGGGAATGGGGACCTCCAAAAAGCCTATCTCCTCTGCCTCCGGGAAACGGTTCAATTTGAGCATGTTACACATCTTGATTGTGCTGGAGAAATGACAAAAACAAGCACTTAAGCGCATTAAAGCCCTTTGTTCCTCTCCTCATTCTTTCCATTTCCTCTGGAAACCACTAATGCAGCCATCCCAGAAAAGCCCATTTTCCTGGTCTTCCTCCAGCCCACATCTGAAACCTTCCCTTAAGCATCATCTTGCCTCAACACTCTTCAGTGCTACAATCCCAAGTACAAAGAAGGCTGGGTTGAGCTTAAACATTACCCAAGAATGTGGGCAAGGAGATTTTCCCAAGCAGACAGATAGCCCATTCCCAACCCCTTTGATTTATTAGCTCTGCCTACGAAGCACCCTCAGGGTTTACTTTTGCCCTAAATCCAGACTTTTCAGAGCAAATTAGGGGAAGATGTAGGTCTAAAGAGCAGGACCCTGTCATCCAAGCCTGGAGGGTAAGACTGGGAGACGACCTGCATTCTCTTCCATGTGGCCAGGATAAGTGACTGCAGCCTGACCCTCTAGGAACCAGTACAGGAAGAAGAATAGAATCTTGTGGAGGGCAGCTGATAACAGAAACACCTTTAAGCTGATTCCCCCTGGCCTCTGTGTGTGATCAAAAAGAGGAAACCCAGAAAGGAGTATTTCCCTTTGTTCCCTTTTTAATGCAAAATCCGTAATGGGATCAGAGAAAAATGCTGGGAAGTCTGCCAGAAAAGAGGGGACAACAGAGTTTATCCAATGTGTATCACAACATATTTCAGAGGCCAAGTGGGATAAGAGCTGATGATGAGGGTTGGCCACAGCTCACAGCCAGGTACCACCTTGAGCTTCTGCGGCTTGGAACAGGCTGCTAAAGACATGAATAATGAGGCTCACGTGTGAGCAGGACTTGAAGGGATTAAGCAGCATTAAACAGCATGCAGTAAGAAAAGAGGAGGTTTGAATGCAGTGACCCTGCTGGAAAGGTGTTTTAATTCCTGGGAGTTTATTAATCCTTCCCTGAGAGTGAAATTGTGTGTAATCCCTCTGCCTCTCCCCCCCAACACTGACATGTTTTAGTACTGCCATCCCTTAAGAGCAGACAGCTCCCGTGTTTGTGATGTGTGTTGCCATGGTAAAACAAGGTTCTTTGGTTCTATTTGAAGTGCTGGGAACAAACAAGAGTGGAAAGAAGAGGAAAGCAGGTCTCGGCAGCCACCGTAGCCAGCAGCATCAGGGGGTCTTTGCTGCACGTGTTGAAGATGGGACCGAAGAGAAGACGACCCCAGGGGAGTTACGCATCAGTAACACTTTGTGCTTCCATAAAACCCTAAGGAGTCACCAGAGGCTTGCCTCTGCTGGCACTACCAGTGCCTGTTATTTAAAATCTCCCTTGATTAAACTATTAGTGCCAGCGGAGGGGTGCAATTTGCATACGATTAGTGCCTTTGCTCAGCACGGAGCCCGTGGGCTTCTCCCTCCCCCACTGATGCCAAGACAGGCAACAAAAAAACCCAAAAGCGACATGGATTTTTGCTGAATTAAACCTAATTCAGTATTTCCTTGTGCCCACAGCTGGGAAGAGTAACAGTGTTCAAGACAAGGCTAGAAAATATCCTCTTGGAAAATATCCAAGAGGAGGTTTCAGGTGTGATCCAGCTCTGTTCCAGGCAGGAATCAGAGAAGCTTCTACCCTGAGGCAGCTCCTGCCACACACATGCTGATGCTCAAGCTGAGCTGCTTTTGGCCATCTAAACCCAGGGACCAGACTTGGTGTCCTTCATAGGCAGCCTGCTGCCACAGAGACCCAAGTAAGCTTCATCTTACTGTCTTCATAGAATCATAGACTCACAGAATGTTTTGGGCTGACAGGGACGTTAAAGCTCATCCAGTTCCAACCACCTGCCATGGGCAGGGACAGCTTCCACTAGACTAGGTTGCTCCAAGCCCCGTCACCCTGGTCTTGAACACTGCCAGAGATGGGGCAGCCACAGCTTCTCTGGGCAACCTGTGCCAGCGCCTCAGCATCCTCACAGGGAAGAACTTCTGCCTAAGATCTCATCTCAGTATCCCCTCTGTCAGGTTAAAGCCATTCTCCCTCATCCTGTCCCTACAGGCCCTTGTCCAAAGCCCCTCTTTTGTATCCCCTTTAGGCACTGGAGCTGCTCTAAGGTCTCCCTTTAAGGAGCCTTCTCTTCTCCAGGCTGAACCAGCCCAGCTCTCTCAGCCTGTCTCCAGAGCAGAGCTGCTCCAGCCCTTGCTGCATCTTTGTACCCCTAAGAGGACACCCCAGCCACCTCCAGCAAGGCTGGACCACCGGCTGCAGCTCCCAGCACACAAGGGCATCCCAGCACCCCTTCACCACCAGCTTGCTCCTCCAATACAAGGGTGGTTCTGGCTCCCATGTGACCCAGCATGACTGAGCATGGCTGCACAGGGCCCCAGGGCTGATTAGAAGATTTTTGATATACGGATGTGAATGCTCAGATGGACTTATTAACAGGGAGTTCCAGGACTGCTGTGAGGCTGGAGAGCCTGGAAAAACCTCAAGCCTGGCCCTGAGCCCACTACCACTTGTCCAAGTGGCGTAAAAAAGCAAGGATCAAATTGAGCCTCCCTGTGTTTTTCAGCAATTCCCCCTTAAATATAAAAAACTCTTCAAAGGGGAGTAGCAGAAAGGTTTTCTGGTTTGAATTTGGCCATCAGCCACGTCAGAAGCATCATGGTTTACACCATGGCTCAGGCTTGCTCACTCCCGTTGTTTGCAGGGCTGGACGTGCACCCCCAGAGAGATCTTCCTCCAGCTATTTGTTGTCCAAGGAAAATAAGCCAAAGGTTTGAAGTCATGCTCAGCCTCTTCCCTGTGGCTCATGTTTTCCATATGTGCCAGGGCAGCAGCATCACCATTCTTGTGCCAGGCTCCCCCCCCAGCCCCGACTGTCTGGTCCATCCTGCACCAGGACAGTCCTGCAGCATGCAGGAGCTGTTTTGAAAGGAAGAACCATACTCCTGAGGACTATTAGTCCATCCATAAGTACAGAGGATGTCTCTTTAGAACAAAGCCCCTTGGAGCTCAGAAGATGTTTTAAGAAAAAAATTAGGAAAGAACAAAGCTGTCCTTCCTGTTTCCTGCCATGTACTGCCCAGCACATGGCAGGGACTCCTGAGCCTGAGCTCACACTGGTGCAGTGGTGAATAGTCTGCCACAAATACAGCCTTTCCCTCTTTGAACCATCACAGTCCTCAAGCTCCTCTGAGGTGCCCTTCCCAGGACAGTCTCATGTCCCTGACTCCACTCCATACTGACCTGTTCAATACCCATCACTCAGCCATTCCAGGGGGGGCTTGCAGCCCTTCCCTGTCAGAATTAGGGAAAAACCAATCACTTTTTCACCATTCCTGAAAGATATGAAAGGCTTTGCATTGCCCTGCCCAAAGCCATGGGGATTGCCATTGCCTTATGGGATCTGACAGACTTACAGATGCAGCTTCTTGTTGGGTGGCCTGAGACGCAAAGCGAGCCACGTGGTTGACGATAGGGGAGAAGTTGGTGGGTCCATAGAAGCGGATGTGGGGCAGACAGGCCGAGTATGCTTGAACAATGCCCTCCACACCTTCAGGGAAAGCAGAAAAACCAAGCATTACAGCTCAGCACAGTTCAGGCCCACCACAAGTCCAATTAGGCTTCATGAGCTAATACTGTCATGGGAGCTGAAGTCAGACCTATTCCCCTCCCACCCACCCAGATCCACAGGTTTTATCCACTTCAACTCGAATTTCCTAATATCAGGGCTTTGCTTCTTAGTTACTTTGTAGTAGGTCCTCAGACCTTCTGAGGTAAGAGTGTTTTCATGGTGCCTACAGTCAAAGAAAGCTTTCCTTGGGGTTCCACAGAAATCAGCATCAGACAAAGAGGAAGAGCAAACAGAAAAGCAACTCCTGGTCTCTGAGCAGAGCCAAAACCCAGACAGATGTGGGGCAGAGGTTGTGGAGAGAGGCAAAACAATCCCGCAAGCACCCTCTGAGCTCCCAGACTGTGTTGGGAGCAGAGGGCAGAGACCCTTTTGTTTCTGCCACACCAGAACAAGGTAAATGGCTGCTCTCCTGGAAGGATGCATAGTGTGTAGTTCAGAAATGACCAATTCCACAATTAACCAGCTGACAGCCAGTCCTTTGGGAAGGACCTGACACAGCTAAGAGTTGCACGTGTCTTCTGCATCCCATAATTCCTGCAACAAATCACATCCAGTGAATTCTTTACAGCTACTGGAGAGGAGCTGAACAAAGCCAAGGCAGCAGAAGAGCAGATGTTCACAGCCAGCTTCCATGAACTGGCGAGCCAGCAAGGTTTGGGGGCTGCCTGAGCTCCCATTTTGTTGGGGTAGGTCAAACCAGATGACTTTAGGAGTCCATGATGGCCCCTAACCACTTAGGATCTGAGCAGTTCTTCAGCCATGACTGAGACTAGCCCCCAGTTGCTAAATGAAGCATTAGGTCTGAATTCCCCATCTGCTAAAAATGCCTAGTTTCTTGCAGGCTTGCTGGAGGAGAAGACGGCTGGTAGAACACAACAGACATCATAATGAAGGAGGATTTTATGCTGCCTGAACCCAGTTGCGTTTTACGCTGAGCATTCCTACACACCTCCAAATTTTCTCTGCTTTCCTCTGAGCACACCCTTAGTATGTGCTCTGCTTCACTGTCAATTCCTGTCTGAATGCACCTTGAAAAATGGCCAAGGTGTTACTAAGAAATGCAAATGCAGAAGGAAAGACAGAAGACACTGAAGGTATCTAAGGATTTTTAAAGATGCTTACCTGAACAGAATGGGTTTGTGGGATTGAAGTTAATGGCAAATTCATGGGATACCTGTGGAGAAGAAAAGGCCTAAATTAACATGGAGTGAAGAGCAGGTTGCTCACTATCAGTTTAGGTGGTGCTGCAAAGCTGGTTTGGGCCTGGTGCTTCCTTGGGGCAGGACCCCATGGTCACAGATGTTACAGTCCATCTTTCTGGGTCAGTAACACTTAGAGCCCTTTGCCACCCAAGCAGGAAGTAGCAGCAAATATGAATGTGGTCAGGGTTGATCAGTGTTTGAGGATGAACTGGTTCCTTAATCCCCCCATCAGGAGCCACCTGAAATTATTACATCATGCATTCTTCTACAGCTATCAAAGCAGGTTTGCCCATGTGGCTTCCTACTGGCTGCCTAGAGGGAAAACATGCAGAAGGGATGTTCTCAGCCAGCTGGGCCTTCTCACCAATCACTAGGAGGAATTACTTCATCTTATTGCAGGTTATAAAGGGATAAAACTCAATTAACATCACAGGGAGGCCCAGTTCTGGCAGCATCCCAGTTCCCCAGTTCTCTGCAAGTGGTCTGATGCAGCAGAAGGGATGCAGGCACAGAGCAAAATGGGTTGAAGACCTGATCTGGCATGCCAGCTATCATGGCAAATCATCATGGCAAATCCATGGCATAATCATCATGGCAAGGCCAGCAGATGATTATCTTCATCATCTGGGTCTGCATGAGTGTGAAAGGCAGCACAGCAGAGGTGACGTAAATGCTTGGGTGTGATGGACGGCAAGTGCCAGCACAATCTGGGCTGGTTTTCATTGGCCTCCAAGGTAGGTTCAAGATCCTTCTACCACCTTCTTTCAGGCTGAAGGAGATGCTCTCATGAGGATGCCCTGTGGGACACCGGCACCAGCAAGTAGCCTTGCACACCCTGATCTGCAGCGCATTGCACTAACCCATCCAGCAAAACCAAACAGCAGTGCTGGCTGTAATCACAACACCTCCCTCAGCTGCTTCCATGGGAAGAACCTGCAGACAGAAACCACAAAACGCTGGTCAACAGTTGATTTGAACCCCTCTCTGCCAGCAAAGGCAGGGCAGCTCAATGGCCTGGGTGCAAGAGAGGGTCAAGGCTCCTGCCCTTCCGTATGAATCTCGCCAGTGTTGGCTTGGGTCAACAGCTTGCTTGGGGAACAACCATCAGACCTGGGGGGGGTTGGGCATTCCTCACTCTGCTACCTTCAGTTTAGGCACCGTAAGAAGCAAACAGACTCTAAGGAGAACCAAGGATGCGCAACTGCCTCTCCCAGAACGTCTGAAGGTTGAAGGGGACAATCTAGGCTTTCAGGCCACCAGCTCGAGGGCTCTGAAACAAAAAGCTCCCACACTGTCTGTGCCAAAGTTACAAAACAAGGATATTTCTCCCTCTCAGAAGGGTGGAGGTTTGCTGAGCTTCTCAGCCAGGGGAGCAGCTGGGGACATGCGTATTCATAACACTGGCAAAACGACTGTCCTTTAAGGCGCCATGGAAGCAGAAGTCCTCCTGAGACTTCAATAGCAGCATTCATCTGATTCAGACTTTCCAATTATACCGGGCATTGTGTCGACAGAAGCAGAAATTATTTTTGCAAGAGGCTGTAGGGTGGGAAACAGCATCAAAACAAAAGTAGGTCAACCAGAATTCCTCCTCCCATGCTGCTTAGCTGTCGGCCCGGCGGACGTCAACAGCCTGCTTGGGTCTCCCCATGCCTGTTAAGCACAACCAGTAACACTCCCAGCCACCAGTAACCCTGGGTTAGAGAAAAGATGGAGTCTGAAATATGTGACTGTGTTTTGCATACACCCTTTCTCGTAGCAGCCTCAATTTTGGCAAAATATCCAAATTACAATCTCTTGGTTTTCAGTTGTAAAGGGCTCAATTTTGTATTCAAAATTCTGCCATAGGAGTATTTATAGATGAGGCACGCAAAAATATTTTCATGTTTTGCACTGCAAAAGAGGGGTTTCTCTTTCTTTTAAGCTGCAACAAAATGGTTTGGAGCTGCGCTCCCTCCTCACTGTCTACACAGCAGACCCCCTGCAGAAGTGTTTCAAAACCTCCTATGGAGTTTTTACAGATTATATATATATATCTATTGGAAAACTCAACAGGAGGGCTTCAAAATAATGAAGAAAATGAAAAAAAAAGTAAAAAAGTGATCTTGTTCCCTATCCAGCTCATACTTTGAAAAACAGTTTCTGTGCAGGCAAATGGATTTGGAGCACCTGCAGGTATCACATTCACCAGTAACTCACAGGGAGAAACTCTTTCAAACCACCCCAAAGGGTAAGACGTTCACCTGCAGCCACCCTGTGCTTTCTTCCTCTGAAGGATGGAGACAGCCGTAGCTCCATCCTTTACCATCAGGAATTAGTGATGTGTCTTGCAGACACACAACCAGAGCCTATGCCAGAGAACTGACACTGCAGAGGGTTGTCTGCCACTTCCCGTAGTGATCCCACCCCTCCTGTGACTCAGTTTCCTTATATATATATAAAAAGCAAATGGAGGCAAAGCCTTGAGGATGGCACATTGGCAAAGACACCAGCTCACTTTGGTCAACCCCATCTCACAAACCTGGGGTGACCGGTGGGGCTCCAATGTTAACCATCACCCTCTCCACTGCTGCCTTGCCTTTGCTCATCCCCCAGAAACCAAAACTCATCTGCTTCCCTCTCCTGTTCCTTTGCTGGGAAACTGCTTGAGGCTCTCTATAGAGCTGACACACGGCAAGATGTTCTTTGACATTTCCAATGAGACTTTGTGCGCAAAACATCTTGCTGCGATGAGTGCCTGGGAAGCATTGGGGGAGCCATGGCAACATGTGATTTATACTGCTCTTAACCATCTTTTCTGTTTCACTCAGGTTTGTGGGTACAACAGCCACCCCCTGTCATGCCCCTGGGGAGCAGCATCGGCCACGCTGCTCCCCGCCATCTGCCCACTGTAACACTGCCTGCCCGCTGTAACACAGGGCACGGATTTCAGTGACTGCTTTGGCTTTGAAACTACTCAATGAGCTTTGTGATCAAAAAACCAAACAAGAGAATTGGGCAGTGATGCTAGGTGAGCTGGGCAGGGCTGAAGCTCCAGGCTGGAGTGGTGCAGGATGATGCACTAGAGATGCCTCCACTGCTAACCTGATGCAACAGATGGGTCACTCTGGGCATTTGGGTGGGTGACCTTTAGGCACAGGCCAAGCACGTGGGGAGGGAGAGCTGCTCTCTGCTGGAGCTTACACGGGCTTAGACATCATTCTGGGGGAAAAGGAGGTGTTTTTCCTGGTAGTGCTTACAGAGTATCCCCAGGCCTATGGGAGCAGCCCAAAACATTTCTGTGGCAGGCTGCAAGAGGCAGACACAGCGGGAGAAGAGGAGAAGCATCCCTCTGCCCCACAGGCCCTAGCCAGCATCCTCAGCCCAGTACCACCTCCAGCCTTGCAGTAAGGGGTACTTCCAACCCAGCAATGCCTTTTCCATGGGCACTGACCCACACACAGAGGCAGCACAGCAGGATGCTCACTGTGATTATTCACCCATTCCCTCAGCAGCCCAAGCCACTGTACCCCTTCCATCCCCACTATGCTTTCCATTGCTATTTCTCTCCTCAGCTAATACATCCCTGATGGCTGTAAGTCCTTGGAAGATGCTTACCAAGATTTTCCCATTGAAAGCTGTGAAATGACAGACCAGAGACATTTGCCGGCCAAGGAGGATGAATCAGCTCCAAAGTGCACATGGAGGGGTCTCCTCCTGTGGCTGGCAAACAGCAAGAGCTCCCACTTGAGTCACATGAATTTTGGCTGCTGTGAAAGCAGAGAAAAGTCCAAAGCCAGAGCAGGCAGGATATCCCCAGCTCGGTGACTTAACGTGACCACTGTTCTCAGCCCAGAGCAGAGCTCCCCTCCCAAAGAACACAGCAGGCTCACTGAGACTGAACCCCAGAATGAAGCTGGGAACTTCTCAAAAACAACAAGCAGAAAGAAAATGCACATTAAGGGCATGAGCAAAGAGCAGACAAAAGACCCAGCCAGTAATGAATGACAGGGGTGTCCCAGCACACGTTCTCAGCCATGAGAACATGCTCCCCATCAGGCAAAGCAGTACCTGCCCACCTGAGGAGCAGGATGCTCCAACTCAGGCCCTTGCAGGACAAAGATGTCTTTAACTCCTTTGGTGCCTAATCCCAAAAAAAAGGTCATGGTGGTTTTGGGGAAAATCCCTCTGCTCCAGTTCTTGCTGGCTCTGGGGGCTGCATCATGTCAAGGCTAACTAGCTCCTACCCCCCTTCCAGGCTTTGCCACCATTGGGCACATTCATCCAGTGGCCTATTCCCCTGCCTGGTCTTGTTCCTGCCTCTTGCCAGGAAAATGAATCAATGCCTGACTCTGCCCATTAATGCCAGGGAGCTGCTGCTTTCATACCAGCTTAGAAGAGAGGAACAGGCTGCCCGTACCCCATCCCCACCTCAAGGGCCACCCACACTGTCACATCTCACTCTCCACCAGTTGAAATTCCGCATCTGCCCATTCCTGCTCTGCCCGGCAGCTTTTCCCTGATCGAGCCAGCTCCGCTCTGCCCAGGCAATATCAGGACAAACCGCTCTCAGACATCCAGTTAGCCACACTTCACCTTCCAGTCTGGCGGGAGCTGGGCGCCGAATCCCAGAGCAGGAAACATCTTGTCTCTGAAAGAGAAGAAGCAAAACAGTGGGTGTATTCACACACAGGAAGCAGGCTGGCACAGCTCTTGCCATGGCCTCCCCATGCTACCAGCTCCCCAACATGCAGCTACAGTGAGTGACAGCTAGAAAAGGAGCCAGCTTTCCCTTCCCCCAGAACACAGTGACTTTAAAAAATCAGGAGCTGAACAGAGACAGAATATATGATTGCCTTTGGCTTTTGATCCTTAGAGAAAACTAAGATCTCAGCTTTGCTTCATTACCCACAGGGATCAGGAGCATCCTCTTGCCCAAACACCTGTATCTCTTGTAGACATGTAACCCTAGAGATTTAAAACAAAAATTAACTATCCATTTTGTCCACAAACGCCACTATGGCAAGAGCAAGATTCCTGTTCTGTCTTCTTTGTTGATGTCTAAGAAGATGTTTTTCTGTGTTGTACCCTCAGGGTGACTGGGGAGCAAGGCAAATACCAGCAAGCTGAGGGCACCTGCCTTTGCACCAAGAAAGCACCAAGTGGATGCCCCACCTTCTCTAAGGCACCCTTTCTCTCAACAGCAGTGATGGGGGGAGAGGAGAAGCCTTGTTCTTATCCTGTCCTCCTCCTGCACCCCAATGTATATGGAAAGTTTCTCCAAGGAGCTTTTCAAAGTCAAGGTACTATTTAATCCTAGCCTTGCAGCTGGGACATCGAGATAGCTGCATCCCATCAGCCCCCCAGGAAGTCAGGAAAACATCCACAAAACGGGGAGGAGGCAGAGGGGCATGGTGCTTACGAGTCATAGTCCTGGATGATCTGGCCAACAGCCCAGATAGCTGACAAATATTCGTTTGTCCCCATGGGGTTGATGTAGTGCAAAGAGGAGGGGTCTCGAGCGTTCCCATTGGAGGCTGTGAAGTCAATCCCAACCTGGGGGACAAGAAAGAAGCACAGACCCGTCCTCCATTAGCAGACATCACCACAGACTTGGCAACCAAGCCTTCATTGACTTTGAGGTCAACACACAGCCCCATCAAGATCCAAACCTCAAACTTGAAAAAGTTTAACAGCTCTTCACCTTCCCTAAAAAAAGCTGATTCAATACTAAGTTAGGCAAAGCCATTCACTATTACACCTACATTTTCCACCAGCCAGCATCACAAATCATGTCCTGAAACAGCCCCTGCTGCTGCAGCAGGCCATACCATCTCCAGCTCAGGATCCTCGTTGCCCATCTCCCATGTGTTAAGTTCGGGAACTGAGTAGCTCCATGGACACTAAAGAAGTCAGGGCCACCTGGGCATCTGGATCTCAAGGTCTTTGATGAGCGAGTCTCAACCCTGAGCACATCTTTCCCTGGGGAATTCACTGGGCTTTCCTGAGGACCAGTGTATACTGAGCTCTCAGGGGACTTTGTTGGCAAGGCACTCCTTCTTCTCCCTCCTCAATTAGGCTTGCTATTTAAAGACATGTGTAGAAATACCCATCCCAGATTCAGTTATATCTGGTCAACAGAGGAGATGCTGAACCACCTGATTTGAAATGACTGGGAAGGAAGAGCCAGGAATAGGCAAGCGAGCGGTGCAACTGCTCTCACCTTGTTTGCTCAGCAAATATGCAAAACCCAGAATAACTCTGGGGCTAAATTGAGCTCAGGGGATTCACACGGGATTTTGCTCTGTATCTGTAATGGGAGAGGATGAACTGTGATCTTGATGAGAAAGGACTTTGGCCTGGCTGGGGCAAGAATACAGTCACAGCCCAGGACATGCCACCACTCTGTGCCAGGCTGGCTTATAAAACAGGCTTGACAGGACAAGGGGACATGGTCTTAAACTGGAAGAGGGTAAGTTTAGATTGGAGATAAGAGAAAACTTGCTCAGTGAGTGTAGTGAGGTGCTGGCACAGGTTGCCCAGAGGAGCTGCGGCTGCCTCATCTCTGGTGGTGCTCAAGGTCAGGTTGGAAGGGGCTTGGAGCAACCTGGTCTAGTGGAAGGTGTCTCTGTCTGTGGCAGGGCAAGTTGGACTGATGACCTTCAAAGTTCTCTCCCAACCCAAACTATGATTCTATGAAAACCCAACTTCTTCATCAAACAACCTTACAATTTTGCCAAAAATGTTGTAACACCCATGCCTGTGAGCCAAGCTCCTGCTGAGCCACCACAAGCATGGCTGGAGAGCAAGAGGGAAAGGGAAGCATGATAAGGGGGCCCAGAGGAGTCAGACAAGCAATGGCATAAAGAGCAGCACTGGGGCTACAGGTTCCAGAGGGATGCAGCTGTCTGCAAGCAAGCGGCTGGACACAATGCTCCTCTCCTCTGTGGCTTTAGCCCTTCTCTCCCCAACGCTTTCCTTCATAGGAGGACACCAGCTGCCTTTCCAGGGGGCATGTGCAGCAGGAGCATGTGCAGCAGCTGCCTCCTCCCAGCTCCAGTGTTTCTGAAGTGTTGCACCCATCACAAATCCACCTGGGGTTTTGGACCAAAGATGCCTTGGGCAGGGGAGAAGCCCTCCAGTAACCGGCAGATCTTTAGATGGGGTGTGGGGAGATTTCATTATTCAAGCCTAATTCACACAAGAGCTCTATGCTAACAATAAAGTTCATGATTTTCTCTTCACTCTCCAGCACCACAACCTGAGCACACAGAGGCAGAACAGTGCACAAAAGCTCTCCCAATCTCTCCTGTTCCTATGACAACTCTTCCTTCTCCTCCTACTCTCCCACTCCACCATGTTTTTAGATGAAACAACAAAATACAAACTGAAATCCTCTGGGTGCTCACAGCTCTCTGCATACTGCACCGGAAAAGTTTGGAGAAATTGAAAACCCCGCTTCTGTGTTGTGGTGGTTTCGCTCAGGGTTGTAATGTCCTCAGTTAGTTACTCCTGACAAGCTATGGTCCAGCTTGAAAGAAGGTGGAAATGGCAGTAAAAATGCAGAAAACCATCTCATTAACAGCCCAAAGCCTCTCAGCTGGCTTCAAAATAAGGAGAGCTTCTACAAAAACCCCTGCAATGGGGAGAAAAGCCAGTAACATTCTGAGAAGGGGCAGGGGGTCTTTGTGTAAGTCTGACCTTCAGCCAAAGTCTAGCCAGCTCCCTCCAGGCTACTGGATACACCTGAGCATTACAGTAATGACCCTCAAACACCCCAAACCCATGCAGTTTAACAGCAAAACAAGGCAGCTCCTTGTTGCCATGAAAAGCCACCCAAGCTGGCACCAAATCTCATACAGAACCTCCCTCCCTGGTTTTGACTGTTAGATACGTGTTACTATTACTGGGCAGAGAGGAGCAAAAGTGCTTACAGTAAACATCAGCTGGCAGCCTCCCAGGATGTAGTCCAGAAAGGAGAAATCTCTGGTTATCTGAAAGAAAACCAAACCAAAACAAGGAGTGTCTCAGCATCTTCACCATTGCAGAACAAAAAAATACCAGAAAACCCACAGAAAGTGCCCAAGCCTGTGTCACTGTGAGGCTGGGCCTTTGGGGACATTCAGCCACTTGTCAGAGCAATGGGAAAAAACACCTGGGACTCCCATGGCACTGTTTTGGCAGTTCACAAGCCATATGAGGCCAAGCAGGGCTGTATGTTGGGTGAGAGCTGGGCTGGGAGGCCCAGACAGAGGTCACTGAGAGCTGGAAGTGTCTGTCATGGTGAAATGAATGGAAAGTCCTCTCCCCACGGCCAAAACAGTCTCATGCCACCTGCAGATCGGGTGTGGGAAAAGCTGTATTGGTGTCATACAAAGGGAGGACTTCAAGATCTTAGCTCAGAACAAAGACCCCTCTCACCTGACCTGACACAGAGGAGTTGGTAAGCACCTAAAGTTTGGGCTTCATGCAGGTGTTGCCCATATTGAACACCTCCTCCTGGGTCTGTGCCTACCTGAGCATAGGGTGGCACCAGGAAGTTAATACATTGGGTGCTCCAAGTGACAAGATACCCAGGCAGAAAGGAAATCACACTTTGATTCATGCTCTGCTGGACCTGCACTTGTAAATGCAAGGGTGCTGGAGGCAGAAGGAATGGGGGAGCTCAGGAAGAGCCAAGCCCAGACAGGGGCTGAAAGAAACATCACAGCATCATACTCACTTTGCAGGAATTGACAATTATGATCCCCGAGTTCTTGTAATTCTTTTTCTTCTTTTGCTTTTTGGGGTTAATGCACTCCATCTCAAGCTGTAACACATGAGGCAGACACCCGTGTGAAAGTGGTGCTGGTCTGTGCTATGGACTGCAGATTCCACCAGCAGCCACATCCCAAGGGCACCCTCCCTCCATGCCTCTCAAAGTGCTGATGAGACAGAAAAGAATCAGAGTGAGTTACAGGTATTTAATGATGGAATTGCAGGCACAGAACCTGCTGGGGATGGGGTGGGTCAAACACATGAATAATTAGGGCAGGCAGTACTCCTAGCAATGACAGCAGACCTGCTTATCCACGAGTCTTCACAACATGCCTTCAAATTCTGCCAAGGCTTTTGTCCAAAACTTCAAGAGGAAGATGGGGACACCTTTGGCCACAAAACCAGTGCAGCATATCACGTCACCTTCAGGCCCCCAAGCCACAGGGTACCCCCAAATCACGGGTACTGCTTCAGACATCTCAGCAGAGCCCAGGACAGCCTTAGCTCTCTCTCTAGCCCAGATGCTTTAGCTACAGCTGTGGCCTTGGTCACTTATGATGTGGGTGGAAGGAGAAAGGTGGCTGGACTTGGCCTCTCAGAACAGGTTGAGGGTCTCAGAGCTAGTACCGAAATCCACCGTCAGCTCCAAGGAGCTCATTCCTTGTTCTTCCCTGAAAGTGTGTCAGCACTTACTGGAAAGGCATCTTGGGCTTTGCACATCCCGGCCACTGAGATCTGAAACTCCCCAATGAAGTCATGTCCTCCATCACTGTCATAGTCGTAACACACCACCTAGGGTGAAGGGAGCACAAACCAGCCTCAGACACAGACACTACCCCTTGCAAGGAGGTCTGCTGAAGTTCCCAACCTTTCCTGTTGAAGACCTCAAACAAGGGTAGGGTTTTTTGGAGGTTTGGGGGTTGTTCTGCTTTGGTTGGTTTGTTTGTTTTTTAATAAACCAGCCATGGGGTTTTAGATGTTTAATGATCAATCCCAGAGGCTGACCACCACCATTAAAGCCAGAGGGGCCCCCTTTACCTTTATCAGCTTCTCCACATCTCCATCGCACAGTGACACCAAAGGCACAGTGAAGGGCTTCCAGGTGGGGTCCAGCGTGTACTTGACCACCTGCAGGATGGGAACAAAGGGATGCTGTTACAACAGACACATCTGCTGGGAGGGACTGGCATGAAGCAGGGACAAGTCTCCAACCCTGGACCAGGTTCTCAGTGGGGCAGGCCAAGCAAGCTGCAGAAGCTCCATTTCAGCCCTCTTTTGCCTTCCTAACTTAGACACAGCATCTCCCCTCCTTCTCAGGCTGTAGCACTTGTGAGTTCCAACAGATTCATTTACATTATGTCTCTGAGGCAATTAAACAAACCTGCATGAGAAAACAGCTGCATCAGACTGGGTAGCATGGCCACAACCAAGCCCAGAGCATGGGCACAACCAATTACCCCACCAGTCCAAGGCCAGGAGCTACTATTTACACCCTCTGCTTCCCACTGCTTGCACCTTACTCATTGCTTACTCTCTCCCAGCATTGCAGGGCAGCCTACATCCATCTGGGGTCTGACCACCACGAAGATGGAGCAGCAGAATGCTGCAACCAGCCAGGAAAGCCAAACAGCCCTGGGCACATCCAGCTCTCCTGCCTCATCTGAGTAACATCTGCTGCCTCAGCTGGAGAAATATTAATTGATGCTTTTTAACATTTCCTGAGAAAATACAATTGTTTGCTTAGGTTTCCTTGGTGGAAACAAAGCAAACACTGGCAGGCTCCAGGAATATGCCATGTACCTTAGAGATGCCTGCAGGCAGGTGAAGACCCTGTTTCATGAAGGTGTGGTGCTTTAAAAGAGAGATTCATGTGAGTGTTAGAAAGCTGGATATGGGTGGCAGATTAACCCTTCTGTGTGCAAGGCAAACACAGGGATTGGAGGACTGTGGACCTTTGCAGCTGCAGCAGCAACAGCACAGATGGAAGAGGTTCATGGCTGTGCTGCAGGCAAACAGCAACACAGGACCTGAAACAGGCATCTTGTTTTACAGACAGGCTTTGATATGAGACCAGGTGAAAGAAACCCTGATGCTGCAAGCACAGTTTAGTCAAGAATATGTAAATTCGTCCTGCAGGAGGCTGGGAAGAGCAGAGGGAGCCCATGCACTCCAAGATAGTGCCTGTGCTGCCAGCCATACCCTGCAGTGCTTGGAGAAGGATCTGGCACCTCCATTGCATGGCAGCCAGCTGGGCATCCACACTGATGCTTCAATACCACCTGTAATGAGCACCCTGATCCTTCCCTGCCAGGTACCTCCATCATGGCACAGGGAATACCAGCATCAGACCAAGAGCTGGTTATATTTCCACACCAAAAGCTGTAAGAATGGGGAACCTTATTACTTCATATCCAGCCTCAAAACACATAGATGGTCACGTGGTGTGGGATTCCTCTGAGGGCAATGGGATGCATTTGGGGCTGGTAAGGAGGAGACTGTTAGAGCACCCATTACTTGAAACAAAACCTGGCTAGACCCTTTTCCAGTGAAACAGGAGAGCAGAGAAACTGGGCAGCAACACAGGGGGAAAACCAGTATATACACATGTGCTCCCCATAAACCTGATCTGCTTAACAGTGATGGCTGGTGCAAAGCCACATTACCAATTCCCATGCCTCTTCCACAAGGAAGTGCTGAAGGTCACTCTGAATTCCCATGTGTCTGAGAAACATATCTCGGTGAGTCAAAGCCCTGCTACCCACACTAAAACAGGAGGAAACATCCAAACAAGGTCCCAGCCTGCTCCCACAGAAATACAAAGAGAAATATTAAATTTTATATGAATTAAATATACATGGAAATGTGTGTGGGAAAGCATAAAACAAAAAAAAAAAAAGAGCAGGGCTAGGGTCAGCCCATATCAGGACCACAGATCATGGGATGTTACACACGTCCTGGTGTGGGTGGGGGAAATCCTCATGCACTGCACAACAGTGGTAAAAAGCAACCTACTGCAAGACTTGGTAAACAAACACCCTGGTATATGTATAGCCTTCTTGGCAGGGGCTCCAGCTCCACTAGACATGAGCCAAGTGCTTGTGCTCTGAAGCTGGAGACACCTGGAGACACCTGAGCATCCTCCTAGCTGAGGATCCGGCAAAAGCTCATTTAAACCTTTCCCCACTGCTACTCCCTAGGCCACCTCCCACCACCTCTTGCCACCATCTGCCCAGGTCACAGATCGTCTTGCTGTCCTGCAAGTGGAGGGAGAGTGGTCCAGGGCTCAGCCCATGGCCAAGCTGAGCATAGTGGTTAACATGGATTAGAAAACCATCTCCATCTCTGCTTGGTATATACAGGAGGGAATAATACAGAACAGATCTCAGGTCCTTGCTAGCCTTGGTAAATCTTTATCCACTGGAGTCCAGCAGCCTCAACTGTGTACCAGGAAGGCAGCCGTAAGTTTTAGAAATCCTTGGATCCCACCACATTTTATGGGTCATTGGGGAGATAGTGCCATGAAGGGCAAGAGGAGCTGTTGAAAGGAATGGTTATGTCTCTGCAGCTTGGGTTAGAGTTATACTCACCTCTGTTCTGTGGACCAGCATAGATTTCCCATCGTCACCTGGTTTATAGAACTCCAAGAAAGGGTCTGACTTTCCAAACAGGTCCTGGGGAAGAAGGGCAGGATGGGTCACACAGTGCTCTGCAAGCAGCCAGTCCAAGACACCTCCCGTCCCTAAGCAGTGCCAACCCCACAGACTCATGTCCTCAAGAGAGTGGCCAGCAAACCAGCTGCACCTGTGGGCAGCCACTCCTCTGTGCCCTGGCCACGTGATCCCATGGACTTCCATGCCACATTTTGGCACTGATGCTGCAGGAGAGTCAGCACCCCAGCAGGTGCCCTGGCACCAGTGAGCTCTCTGGATGGAGATGCCATGGAAAACAGCCCCAGATGGGAGGCAGCTGCATTTGGGCTTGAAAAACATCCAAAGATCCAAAAGAAAAACAGAATTATGAAGTGCACGAGTGCCTTGGGGGAAAACAAAAAAAACATACCCTCCTCCACACAGCTGTGAAGTATAAGCAGAGCAAATCTTTCAGAAGCAAGCTGCCCTGGTGTTGACAGAGATCATGTAACACCCGCCGAGATACACAGCCCTGAGTCAGTGTGTACCGCCTTTCCTGCCTGTCTCCTCAGATATTCAAAGATACTAAAGGGCTGCTGGTTACAAGAAATACATGTCCCATGAGAAAAACACATCCCTGCCGCACATGAGGTCATCTGCAGAGGAGTAGGACAGCGCTGGTGGCACCCACACAGGGAAACTACAGCATTCCGACACAGGACTTCATTCCCATTCAGCAAGACTAGGAGGTGAAGAACCAAAAAAAAACCAGCCTAAAATATCCCAAATTATTTACTGGGAACTCAAGCCATTGCAGCTGGGTTTTTCCTCCCAGAGGGATGTGGGTGCCTGAGTCCTGCAGAAAGCTGGAGGAACTTCTTAAGAGTTTGAACAGTAGCTTTTGGGCTTCCAAGTGATGCATCAGGGATGCAGGGGACTGCTCATGGAGGAGGCGGAAGCACGGACGCCCCAGGAGCTGCTGTCCACAGCCAGCATGGGAGGCGGCAGCTGGGACAGACACAGGCTCTAGTGAGGCTCCAGCAGAAAACCCATTAACATTTGTATCCAAATCCTGCTTCCAAAGCCAGCCAGAAAAGTAAATCACTGCCAAGTGTTTGGGCTTGGAGAAACAAAAACTTGCTTCAGTCAGAATTCTTCTGTCAGAAGAGCAGACCAAAACGTCTCACAGGGATGTGCTCTGGTAACATGGGACTATTTTCTCTTACCTTTTTTCACATGTTTCCAGAAGAGAAACCCAAGCCATTTTTTCTGCAGGGTTAGGGTTATGACACAGTTCTGATCCTGCTCACTCACGGTGACTGGCCTTGGCACTTTCAAGCTTCACTGATGGATTAAAGAACCAGCAATGGGTACCTGACCCTGCTTTTGCTAGCTTAACCTGCAATCCAGTGCAGTTTCAACAGGCAGCCCAGCGTGGGTTAGTGGAGGCACCAGCTCAGATGGCAGCAGGGAACTTTGAAGGATGTCAGCTGCCATCTCATGTGGACCAGAGTGGTCTGCAAGCCCAGTCGATATTGTTCCATTCAAAAGGGGCTGGGAGATGCCTCCAAGCCATAGGATTACATGCTGCTATTTTAAAACATCAAAACAACGAACACCTCTCTCCTGCAAACCTGGCGGGAGATGGAAGCTGAGCAACCACAGAAGCTTAGCAGACCAGATTGGTCTGCAAACTGATCCAAGAATCTAAATCATCCAAACCAGTCCTTGCACACCACGGATGAGGAGGGTGGAGGTGGCACTTCCACCAGGTGCATCTTCAAACCACAGCTTCCAGCAGCAGTCCCAGCTCACAGTGTTTGCTCTTCCTGAACCATGCTGAAGCATCGCTGCCCTCTGGCTGTCCCCATGGCTGTGGTGGCACACACAACTCTTGAGTTCACCAGGGCTGATACCAGGTGAAAGTGCCTCCCTTCTGCAAGAGATATTTCCTTGGAACAACTCTCCCAGGAGCTGGCCAGGCTCTGATCAGGTTCCTGATAAGGAACAAGAGCCTCAGGCTGGTTCTGCTGCTGACATGCTCTTGCTGTGCAGCTTTGGCGTGTAAAGCAAGGTGGTGAGCTGTAGGTAGAGAAACCATGGACATGTAATGGGGAGGAGGACCTGCTCACAGCCTGAGAAAGGTCCTAGGTTTTGAGTGCTCATGGTGGGAGCTGCCAATAATGTCCAAAAAGAATTGTGTTATCATCCAATTTCCTTGTTCAGAGACTATTTTAATTTCTGTGAAGTGACATGAACATCCTTTGCATATAAGCAGGATTCTGAGCAGTGCTGTGCTGTGTGGTATGTCAGTCCGCACAGAAACCCCATCAGCAGGTATTCACTAAGGAAGGAGCTTTCTGCTGACACCTACTGATAAGCTGGATGGAGACCAAGAAAGAATATCACAGTCCTTATCCCTGTGTAACCAGGTAGTTGCTGAATTTCTGTACCTTGACTGTGGGTCTGAGGAGCAGCAGATGCACAGGTATTGTGTTCTAGCTGAGGAATATCAGAAGATGCAATAGGTTACGCCTGGTAGAGGAGCTTGGTTGCAAACCTGGTTAGAAAGGCAACTCCTGCCCATGGAGCATATGGTGCCACCAAGGAAGTGGCTGATACAACAAGTGGAGGTGTGCCTCAGGCATGCAGGGAGGACCCAGGTCCTTGGCCGTGATCTTCACAGTGGCCACAGCTGCAAAGGAACCCTGAATATTGAAGGAAGGGTGCCAAGCCTGCTGTGAAATCCCATCCCTTGCTTTGCAAGGGAGCAGAGGCTTATTCTTGGAGTGCTGGAAGAAAACTGTTGCGTTACAGATGTCTTCATTGACATGCATGGGGATTGACCCTCAGGCACATCCCAGACATTTTCAAGACCATTTATGAAGTTATGTGGGGATTTTCTAGCAGGGGCATTTGGTTCTCTGCACTAGGCAGGGTAAGCAGGAGGGCAAGAAAAAAGCTATTGCCTGCAAGTGGGAAGAACACTTGGGTAAACCAGGCATCCATCCGGTTTGGACAACAGGACTGAACAAACAATGTCTTCTGCCCCAGCAAATACCCTTCTGCCTGGATGCTTGCTTTATCCCAGTTTAAAAACTGAGAGCTATCCTGCCAGTAACACAAGCTCTGACTAGGAAGAAGGAAAAAATAATATTCCCTTCGATCACTTAGCAAAAGCATTGGTTTAAGAGGAATATCACTAGTTGCCTAGTAAATAAGGTCAGATGGCTTTGTTCAGTGAAGTTCTTGATTTCCTGCATATCATATCCAAAGCAAAACTCAGACACTACTTGACACCATGAGGTCAATACTTCTTCCTCAGAAAAGGTGGGCCCTACTGTTCAAGACACAAGATGATGTTCAGTCCATTTCCAGAGGGGCTGAAGGCAATGAGCTAGGAGCCGTCAGCACTTCTGAGGTTCAAGGGGCATCAACACATCAGGAGACATTTCCAAATGACAGCCACCAAATTAGTGTATCTGCTGCCTTTAGGACACACAAGTATGCAGATCGTGTGCCACACATTATCTTTCCATTTCAGTGCGCATGAAGAAGAAATAAATATGTGCCAATAAGAAATTTGAGGCACAGGTGTACTCAGTGGCACTGCCAGGGCTTGAACCCCTCCAGTCTTATCCTGATGCTTGCTCCAGCAGGAGTATTTTATGTCACTCCTATGTCCAAAAGAGAGATTTCTTTAGCCTATGAGGGTCAGAAGTTTAACACTGCATCACCCAGTCAGAACCCCACTCACCTTTTTATCCAGTTTTCTGCCAGCCATGCTCAGAGTAATCACCCTGTTGTCAGAGAGCTCTTGGGCAGCTATCTGAAAGACAAGGCAAGATTGCACTGATTTTCTGGTACAATTAAGCCTGTTGAATGGACAATCTGAAGGGAGAATGAGGTGCCAGGAGTCCCCAGACAGCCCCTTCCCCCATACTATTGGCTCTAAAAGGAAGCCCCTTCCTTGTGTGTCATACCTGAGTTGGTCTCACAAGGCTTTTCTGCATCAGGGCTCATCAGGACCTGGAGAAGCCTCCAAGGACCGAGCCATGAGGAAGCAGGAGCCATAGAACCCCTTGCCTGCAAGATGTGCCATCTCATCCTCCATATTCCAGGCTGGACACAGCAAAAAGCAGCTGCCCCATCACCTGGGGGAGCTGCCAGTGGGAGCAAGATCTTGAGCCACGTATCCCCACAATCACTTGAAGAGGCAGCCCCAAGTGTGAAAACTCCACCACTGCTCCTGAGGCACTGTAGCAGTCAGGAGTACAGCCCAGATTACTTCAGTTTAAGAGACTTTATTCACATACACTCCAGAAGGGCTTCAGCTGCCAGCCACCAGTGGGCTAGTTTTGTCTGGAATATGGTCTAATGAGTATCTTGGTATTTTAAGAAAATGAATGTTTGTAACAAAAAAAAAACCACCTCACATTTATTCACTTCTGTTACCAGCCATTTTCTGAATCATTTGTATTTTACCTCCTCAAGGCTGTGTCCTGCCCAAGCATCTGCTCCCCACCTCTTCCTCCTCCACTCCCTGCTGTGGGCTGAGCCGTTCCCTAGCATCCTTGGCTGCAGCATCCTCCCTTGTGGGAAAACGGGGTGGACAATTCCCTCACACACAGTGCTCCCAAGTTCAGCTCTTTGCTGGCTCCCAAGGAGATTGTCCTGGAGGGAGGTATTTCCTCACTGGAGGTATGTGGAGTAATCACAGCAAGGTTTGTAGAAAAACTTGTAGAAATAAAGGGGACAATTTTCTGCAGAATGAGAAGTCAGGGGGTTACTGGCACTTAGGAGAGCCAGGTTGTCTGCAGAGATGCAGCTTTTGAATCTGCCTGGGCAGCTCTTTAACATCCTGAACAACCTGCCAGCCTTTCCATGGCAAACACAACTCTTTTGTCCACAAAGGACCCATTCACCACATGCAAAACCCAATTTTCTCCTCTGCTCTGTATAGATGGGAAGTCAAAAGTTCCCTACTGCAAAGGCACAGCGCTGAGTTTCTCTCCCACCTAGTCCTCATTGGGCATGCACAGTCACCACAACCAGCAGGCTGAAGAGGAGCTGTAGGGAAGTGGATGAAATTTGCCTTTTGCTGATCCCCACAAAAGCACACTCAGCCAGTGTCCAGCATTTTAGGGCTCATTGCAGGCTACAAAAAAGCTGGACTGTGCAGACAGCCAGGGACATCCTTGTGCCACGCTGCTGCAGGCTGCTGGTGGCATCTTCTCTTAGCCAGCATGAACAGTAACAACATCCCCACCTCTGTGCCCAGCAAAGGCATGCAGCAAGGTCTCAGGATTGATTTTACACAGCGAGTTGCTTTGGGATTTTCCTCCACCTCTTCAAACCTAGGGACCCTCACACAACCATATCCACCCAACCAAGGTTATTCTGTTGCATTCACCCCTGTGGCATCTCAGCTAAGGAGCTAGATACTTGTACAAGATTAAAGAGGGTAGGGGTGAGGAAGGCAGGCTTTTGTTCCAAACTCCATGTCTTGTCTGTGTCAGTCTAAAGCTAGAGCCTGCTCCTCCAATAGTGTCCATAGCCCATGCTCCAGCAGTGTGCTGTGCCAAGCAGTAGGTAAAGGTGCCCACCACACAAACCCTGTTGTCATCACCCAGCCCAAGCCAGGGAAAAAAACCCAAAACCCACAGATCAGAAAGTCATATCGATGGTACAAAATTAAGCAGATGTCTCAGACCTTTTGATTTTTAGTGACACATTCATGACCTTCCTTTTTTATAACATACATAACCTTTGAACTTGACTGGAAGCTTTTAATCCCATCCAGTTCTTCCTTCTTGAGCATTGAACTGGGTGTCACTAATGCACATCCTGGGACTGGCACATGTGCTTGTACGGTTTTTACTATTTCTTTTAAAGACTAACTGTGGTGATTAAGAGAGAAAAGCTGGCAGCATCTTCCTAGCCTCTAGAGCAAACAGCAATGGAGATGCACATGCAGCAGCCAGGTCCTAGGGCTTTTAAACCCTTCCAGTGCTTTTAAATCCTTCCAGTACTTTTAAACCTGGTGGAATTTTAACTCCTTGCTTGCCTTTTCCTCCACACCTTTGCTGCCCAGCTGCTTGTCTCACAAAACCCAGAACACAAAAGAGATCAAAAAGGATGGACAATGTGGCGGGAGAGAAATGCACCTAAATTTAGTCTTTTCTTTTAAAAAAACCTATTTCTAAAGAGATCTAGAGTGGGTAGGCCACTGCCCAAAGGGGTCTGCATCAGAAGCAGCGGCTGTTGCTATGAGACTTGTTGCTACGGCACAGCTCCCATCCTCTTTCTACAAAAAAAAAACACCACACATGAACAGCAAAGGCATCAGCCCTCTCACCTCCCACAGTGCCAGCAAGGGCTGAGCAGTCATGTTGTACCAGATAACAAAGAGCAGCAGCAGGCTTTTACTTTATAATTCTCCCGATTGAGGTTTTTCTTGTTTCAGCGACTGAAGCAGAGGTTGAAGACTCACAGCCCTGGGCACCAGGCAGACACTAGGCAACATGGTCCCGGCCCAGAATACACAGTGCTCCAAAGAGACCAAAGTGGGCAGAAAAACAGGAGGGAAAAATGTTCATGAGATAAAGTCAAGTCTCCTGGACCCCAGGTGAGTGCCTTGCATTGCCCCCAGGTTATTATCCGCCCTTGCATACAGTAGGTAATGTAAAGGAGTAACTGTACCGTTATCATCCCTTTCCCAGCTGGTTTGCCATTCCCCAAAAGGAGAGTCCTTGTTATTTTCTTGCTGGAGACAATCTAGGGAAGCCAAAGAAAATAAAGTCATGATTGTACAAATGATCAAAAGCAGTCTCATAAGCGATTCATTTAATTCTGATTAAGCATTTACAGGAATAGAAGAAAGGCATCACACTCGGAGATGACCATGATACTGTGAATATCACCACCATTACCTGAGCCCACAGGGAACAGGGCAGCAGCTGAACAGTGTAGAGCAGCACAAGAGGCTGAAGCACTACTTTCTGCTGAATCCAGGGACCAGCTCCTGTGTGGAAGAGGTCGGTGGAACCTCACACAACCAGAGCTACTGTGGTTTGCTCCTAGCAAAATCATAACTCAACTTTTCAGACCCCATTTTAAATACTTCTAACGTGACCCTGCCACCAACTTTCTTTTGGGACATACTCCCATTGCTGAATCCTGATTACAAGCCAGATGCTCTCCCCCAGCATTGCTCTGGACACCCTACACAGCAGCTGCCAAGCAAGGCACAGAGGTCAGCATCCCCAGAAGGCATGTTCTCCCTTTCACTTCTTGCTTGTGAGAGGTCAGACAGGGTGACACAGGAGCTGAATGGAACCCCTTGAGATTTTTCCCAGCTCACTGAGTTTCAGACCCCTCCAGATCTGGAGATCCTGCAATTTTCTTCCAAGAGGCGTGGACCCTCACATGGGGATCTAGCAACCTACCGGAACTGTCTGTGCTCTGCTCCCATACCTACTGGGGACACATTTGAGATCTAGAGGTTGCAGTTTAAAAATGTGCAGTCCCACCCATTCTTCTGCCTCCACCTTTGGTCTTATGTCACACAGTCAGAAAATAATAGTGACAATAAAAAAACATGCAATGAAATGTCTTGTTCCTGACATCCAGGTGACCCAGCCATGCTTGGATTCCTCCCATTCCTCCCCAGAAATGTTCTTCTCCCTTCTGGGAGATCTTCCTGTGGCCTTTCAGTACTAAAAGGAGACTTATAAGAAAGATCATAGGATAACAGAACAGTTAGGGAAGGAAAGGACCTTAAGATCATCTAATTCATACCCCCTTGCCATGGGCAGGCCCCACACTAGATCATGTCACCCAAGTCTCCATCCAACCTGGCCTTGAACACTGCCAGGGATGGAGCATTTACCACTTTTCTGAGCAATCTGTGCCAGTGCCTCATCACCCTCACAGTAAAGAACTTTTTCCTGATATCTAACATGAACTTCCCCTGTTTAAACCCATTACCCCTTGTCTGATCGCTGCAGTCCCTAAGATAAGGAGAGACTTTTTAGCAAGGCGTTAGTTGCGATAGGACAACAGGTGATGGTTTTAAACAGCAAGAGTTTCAGTTGCTTTTCCTATGGTGCTTTTGATCCATAAATGCCGAGGTATCACTAGCCAGTGTAACTAGACATTTGTGGCACACTGTGTCCAGGGAGGCAAAATCTCCTTGCCACCCTGCCTAGCAGAAACCATGGACACCCTCCAGCCTGCAGTGTGATGCCTGCTACATTTCGTTTGGCCACAGAGGTCATGACAAGCCTGCGAATCATCCAACCATCTTTTTAACTCTCACCCCAGACATAATTAGCTGCAATAAAACAATCTGGCTAATCCGACAGAGCTGCAGTGCTAACTCAAAATTGAAGAGTCAGATGCTCACTGTGCGGTTGTTGCTGCCCACAGCTGCTCTCCTCCATTTCCAAGGGCTGTTGGTGCCTCAGAACTGGGGAAGGACTTACGGACACACCTTACCAGACAAAATCCAGCCACCCACAGCAGGGTGGCTGAACCCACAAGCCCCATCCACCTGTTTCACCCCTGTCCTCATCAGGCACCTTGAATGCTACCCATACTGTACATGCTACGGTACATGCTGCACACACGCTACCCCCCCAGTCTACCTCTGCCCCGCAGCTTGACTGTGCTGCAAGCCCATGCTGGCCACAGAGAGAGGAGCTTAACAGAACCTTGGGGAAGAAAAGAGAAAATGAGAAGATTCCTCCATGCCAAGCTGGTGTCTCACTGTGGACTACAGGTCATCAAGAAGATCACATGGGAACTGCTGCAAAAACTGGACACACACTTGGCATAAACTGAGCTCTCTTTGCAAGGTGTAAATACTTACATGAGATTACCGAAGTTCAGAGCTCTCTTTTTTTCTGATAGATTAAGCCCACTGGCTGTGCCTAAAGACACAGGAGACACTTATTCCATATCTGTCAGCCACTATGGCTAAATGACCAACCTTGGATGTGAGTGAGACCTGCCAACAGCTGCCCATTCCCACCATTCCCACAGCCCCAGCATGGTCTGTCCAGCCTCATGCTTTGAGTTAATCAGCTAGCAAAGCACTAGAAAAGGTTGAGCTTTTCTGGGAGACCAAACAAGACTCTTCCACCTTTTTCTCCAGTACATACAGATAATGCTTCTCACTGGCATGAGCCTGCAGAGCCCTGAACTTTTGCAGAGCCACATCTAGGAACAGCAAGGTTTAAGCTCTGTTTCCTTATGTCAGTGAATTCCCTGCTTGCAGCTTCCATCAAGATCAGGACTGTCACGGTGAGTTTTGCTAACTGTCCCACACCAGAGCTGGCTGTGTTTCAGCAACAGAGCTAACAGTAAAGGATGGGTTTGGCCTAAATCACTGCACACCAGCCTGAGCTGTTGCCTGCACTGTCTCTTAATTTCTGCAGGAGCAGAATTAGGTCATCTCAGAGCACTTCCAAAAACCCAGGGTTAAGCCACAGCTCTGTAAACACCAGTGCTTTTCTAACCCATCAGGCTCTTGAGCTGGCAATGGTAAGGTCACTTACCCTGCCTTGCCATATACAGCGCCATATTGCAGTCTGTATAACAAAACAATCATATTCACAAGCCCCCCTGAACACCCTGGGCTGGCTCTCTGTACCAACCTACTTATTACAATGTTTCCTTACCTTCCTGTTCCCAGCACAAAGCACAACAGAGACAATTTTTCCCAGCCTCTACATTTGCGCTGGGTACCGCATCAGCCCTGAGCTGATGGATCCTGCAAAACAACGGAGGAATTTCCCCTCATTCCCGGCCTCTGAGTCAGTGCAAGCTCAGAGGACAGAAACATTTGAAGAATATAGCTGCCAGCTCCTGACAGGATCTGGGCTCATGAATGCAAAGACCTTCCAAAGGCTTATGAATCCCATTGTGTCCTGAAAGCTTTTCCACAAGAGCAGAAAATACATTCCTGCACCAGCACACTAAAGTAGGAGAGATGGTTTGCTACACACTGCAATAGTCACAGCTTTCAAATAACCTCCTAAAAACCTACCCTCTCCCCCCAAAAATAAAAAAAATAATAAAAAAAAAAACACCGCAAAACTGAGATAGAAAGGTAGACCACAATACATCCTAACTTTAAACATCTGGAAGTTTCCCAAGTCCAAATCCAAGATGTTCTTCAGGGTGCTTTCTATAACTCCTGGTAAGATACAGGTACCTCAAACACTTCCAGTTGGTATCTCTCTGCAGGCACCAGCAGAAGCTCCCACTATGACTAACTTAGGCTCAAGCAAGCAGCTAACAGCCCTAATGTGGAACAGTGCAACCTCAACAATTGAAGTGTGACAAGCAAATTAAATCAGCTTTTCCAAGAGCCACAGCTCTAATCCTCCCATGTCCCTGTGGTTGATATGATTTGGGGTCCCTTTGCTGGAGGACAGCAAGCTGTAGGACCTCAGAGACTTACCACGCCCAGTGTGCAGGAGAATTCACCAAGGAAATCATGCTCATACAACTGCATGCTTGACTTGTCCTGGTCAAATAGGGCAAACTTGAGCTTCTGAACTTCTTCAAAGTGGTAGTCAATGACAAACTTCTTGGCAAAAGCTGGGTTGAGGTTGTTCACAGCTGTCTCCGTCCTGTCGAGCTGCAAAGAACAAAATAAAAGAGAAGGCTGTGTGGAGACCTCATAGCAGCCTTCCAGTATCTGAAGGGGTACTACAAGGATGCTGGAGAGGGACTCTTCACTAAAGACTGTAGTGACAGGACAAAGGGTAATAGGTTCAAACTTAAACAGGGGAAGTTTAGATTGAAGATAAGGAAAACGTTGTTTACTGTGAGGGTGGTGAGATGCTGGAACAGGTTGCCCAAGGAAGCTGTGAATGCTCCATCCATGGTGGTGTTCAAGGCCAGGTTGGACAGAGCCTTGGGTGACATGGTTTAGTGTGAGGTGTCCCTGCGCATGGCAGGGGGTTGGAACCATCCTGAGACATGCATCTGCCTGGGAGACCCACCCCAGAGAGACCTTCTGCTGATGCAGCAGCACTGCTGGTGATCATACAATCATAGAATCACAAACTGGTTAGTCTGTTAGTCTAGTGAGATCCTGGTTAGTGATTTTGGTGATGTTCAGTGGGGAATGAATGCTGGAGCAACCTTCAATTCGTGTGACAGCTACAGCCAGTTACAGACAGACCCTCCTCAGGAAGCAGTGCCGCATGCTCCAGGAAGCAGAGCTCCTCCCAAATCCTCTGAATCAGTGAAGGGACACAGATGGCTCCTGTGTTGCCCCTTTTCATAGAATCAGAGTGGTTTGGGTTGGAAGGGAGTTTAAAGCTCATCCAGTTCCAACCCCCTGCCATGGGCAGGGACGCCTTCCACTAGACCAGGTTGGTCCAAGCCCATCCAACCTGCCCTTGAACACCGCCAGGGACTGGGCAGCCACAGCTTCTCTGGGCAACCTGTGCCAGCGCCTCACCACTTTCACAGTAAAGAATTTATTCCTTATATCCAATATAAATCTCCCCTGTTTAAGTTTGAACCCATTGCCCCTTCTCCTACAGTGCTACAGTCCCTAATGAAGAGCCCTTCACCAGCATCCTTATAGACCTCCCTCAGATACTGGAAGGCTGCTCTGAGGTCTCCACACAGCCTTTTTTTCTCCAGGCTGAACAGCCCAAATCTTTTCAGCCTGTCTTCAAATGGGATATGCTCCAGCCCCCTGATCATCCTCGTGGTCATGATGACCAAGGTTGTGCTGCAGAAAAGCCAGTTTGGGCACCTCTAGATGAACTACGGTGCCAGCAGCAAGCACACTCCCGTTCCCTGGTGAGGCATTTGTGTGCCCCATCCCTGAAGGAGGAATACACATCCAGTTGGTGGGTATGCCAGGAAGCAGGCTTTTGGGATCAAGCCAATATTTTACTTACGCTTCAAAATAATTCAGACAACTGCTGAGTGTCAATTCTCTCATGCTCCATTAGACTAGATAGAGACAGCCTCATCCTACTGAAGCAGAGGGCTGGGAACAACACACAACTGCTCCTTGTGCACTGTCTGCATCCTGTCACTGCCAGGACAGCACAGCCATGGAAAGTCCTCCTGTCTTTAAAGAGCCTTTTATCAGCAGGGTGTTACCCTGGAGTAAGTCTGTGTTGGAGTGGGTGGGCAGAGGAGATGAATGCAGCTCTCAGCTCTTTGGCACATACAAGAAAAATAAAAATATGCACAAGCCGCCTTGCCCTGAGCTGCAGGAGTGTGCCATCGTGTTCCTCTGTGCCCAGAACCCCAGTGCCCACAGCCCACAGGCTGTGAGCAGCACCTACACCTGCTGAGCAGGGTATCTAGTGCAGCAGGGGGACACAGAGCTGGCAGGAAAGAGAGTCATGGCATGGCAGACTGGTTTGGGTTGGAAAAGACCTTAAAGCTCATCCAGTTCCAACCCCCTGCCACAGGCAGGGACACCTTCCACTAGATCAGGTTGCTCCAAGCCTCATCCAACCTGGTCTTGAACACTGCCAGGGATGGGGAAGCCACAGCTTCCCTGGGCAACCTGTGCCTCACCGCCTTTTCGAGAAAACATTTCTTCCTTATATCCAAGCTAAACCTATCCCAGTTTAAAACTGTTGCCCCTTGTTCTATCTCTACAGACCTTTGTAAAAAGTCTCTCTTGATCTTTACTACAAGTGTCCTTATACTTAAGTAGGCCACAACAATGTCTCCACAGAGCCTTCTCTTCTCCAGGCTAAACAATCACAGTTCTTTCATCCTGTCTCCATAGGAGAGGTGCTCCAGCCATGTGATCATCTTCATGTGCCAATTCTGGACCTGCTCCAACAGGTCCATGTCTTTCCTGCACTGAGTACTCGAGAGCTGGACACAGTACTGCAGGGGGGTCTCCCCAGAGTGCAGTAGATGCGGAGATTCCCCTCTCTTGACCTGCTGCTCATGCTCTGGGGATGCAGCCCAGCACACAGGGGGTTTCTGGGCTGCCAGCACACACTGCAGGGTCATGTCCATTTTGTCACCTATAAGCATCCCCAAGTCCCACAGGGCTGCTCTCCATCTGTCCATCCCCCAGCCTACGGGTACTAGGGATTGCCTTGGCCCAGGGGCAGAACCTTGCACTTGACCCAGTTGAATTTAATGTGATTATCAAGGGCCCACTCCTCCAGCCCGAAAAGGTCCCTCTGGATCCCATCCCTTCCTTCCAGCAAATCAGCTACAACAGTCAGCTTGGTGTCACCTGCAGACTTGCCAAGGGTGCACTCCATCCCACTGTTTACATCATGATCCCTCCCCTCCTCTCTTCCTCTAGGAATTACATTTCTCATTTGTAAGGAGCTGGCTTCTGAAACCAAGCAAATAACAAGATAATCTTATCAAGGTTTTTATCAAGGTCTCTTGATCTTTTATCAAGGTTTCTTATCAAGGGCTCCTGGTATCAAATACAGCAGTTGAAGCACATATTTATGAGATTTCTACTAAGGAGAAAAGACCAATGTCTGCAAAAAAATTATCTGGGATTTACCATCTGGATGCTGTCTGCCTGCAGCTGAACTGATCCAACCTCCCCACACACCTTGCTCCCAACAGTCTCCATCCCATCCCATGGTCCATCCCTCTCCATGGAAAACACCCAGTCCATGAAACGCCCAGCTTAAAGACTGTTGACTTTGAAATATTTCTTGAAGGAGGCCACAGGTATTAAGAGCATGAGCATTTCCCCACTGGACTGACCTGCAAGACACTCAACCAGCACACTCCTGGCCCCTAGAAATAGCCACTCTTCAAGTGAAACCCGAAGACCAGCTGTCTATACAACTCATGATCCAAGAACCAGCTTGTCTCACTTAGAAACACCCCATTGCAAGCAGGACCTCACAACACCCAACTATCATGCAGGACTGACATTTCAGGCACTTGAATCCAAAGCACTCAAAACTTACAGCATGATGAGAAGGGGCTGGGACCACTTTGAAAGTGGCAAGATCCTTTCATGCCTGCCATGTGCTTTACCAGAGGCTGGCATTTTGAGATATGTAGTTAAATCTGACTCCCAGAATGAAGCAAAAAGCACCAATGGGGAAAGGACTTATAGCAAAACACAGAATAGTTAACACACTGGTGACATGCACACAGCCTTGGGAGGACCAGAAGAACTTCCACCTCTGAAGGAATAAGGACCAGCCTTGTAGTGGAGCACAGAGAAGACACCATCAAGGGCAAACCACTGGAGGAGGGAATGCACACAACCTCAGGACTTACCTCCACCCACTTCCCGCTGACTTCCATGAAAAGGACGCAGAAGGGGTCAGATTTGGAAGTGACATCCCTGTCCAGAAGGTTTTGGCCGCAGACAGACAACTCGACCTTGCATACGCAGTACTGGGAGCCGACAGGCCCTGTTGGCATGGGAGTCATGGTGTACGCCATGGACTCCAGCGGCAGCAGCTCCAGGCGGTCTGTGGGACAGGAAATGGAGAGGAACCTCAGTGCAAGCAGAAAGGCCAAAACCACTCTGATGCCACAGGCAGAGGGCCATGTCATCCTCTAAGTTACACCTCATAAGTTGAGGCTGTGCTGGCTTCAAAGCATTAACCCTGCCCAGCCACCATCCTCATGTGGCCACCACACCAGGCAGATGTTCTGAGATGCCCAGCGGAGCACCTACAACCTGCCTGGGTTTTGTTCATAAATAAGAGATTTTCAGGGAAAGGTAATGTCTTCTGCTCACCCCTCTCCAAAGGGTTAAAGCATCCCCAACCTCTTCTTCTAGCATGCTGTGGGGCTTTTGTGGGGAGGATCTACACTTCCACACCACCTTTCTGCATGAAAACCGGTTGTCATCGAGCTGGTCACAAGCCATGGCTCATGCACCTGAGCTACCAGGGCCAAACTTTAGCTCTGCCTCTGAAATCATCACAGGGAAAGGGGTGAGTCTGGGAGGATGAGTGGGGCGGAGGACAGCTGCAGCTCTACTCATGAGGCCATCAGAAAGCAGAGGCTCTGGCAGCAATCAAAAGGTGGCAATAGCTGTCTCACAGAAGTGCAAGGCAACTGTGACAATCACTGTATGACCTGGTGGTGGATGGGATGATTTACAGGGCCCTGATGAAAAACCCTTTGTCACAAGAACAGCTTGCCAAAAGTCTGCTACTAAAGCCATTGTGCAGAGATAAATGTGTTCTATACCATTATGAGTTCAAAACCTCATCCCACATGACAGCTTTGCTTTCTGATGTGCAGTTTACCTGGTAAAAACCACCAGTGGTCTTCAGCAAACAAGAGAAAAGGGGGAAAAAAGAGTAGAAAAAGCATTTTCAGATTAAGCTATACTAATAAATCTTCATGGCTGGGGTTTCTGGTGGAAAGAGAGCTCTTTTCACCAGCTCCTTCAACAACTTTCACCCTTTTTTTCAAGAAGGGCTCCCTCCTGGCTCATCAAATTTATCTGAAAACCCCAAACATCTCCTTCCTCCACTTTGATAAGCTGTCTGCTGCTGCTTGGCATTAAAACCCCACTTAATTAGTATTTGTTTGTTTTGCCCAGGCATGAGTATTTACAAGCACTTGCACTGCTAGGAGCTGCTGGTTACCATCTTCTCTTCTCTTGCAGCTCAGCTTCCAAGCCGGGATGGGGATAGGGGACAGGGATGGGGTAGCCGCAGGAACCTTAAAACTCATCCAGTTCCAACCCCTTGCCACAGCCAGGGACACCTTCCACTAGACCAGGTTGCTCCAAGCCCCGTCCAGCCTGGCCTTGAACACTGCCAGGGATGGGGCAGCCACAGCTTCTCTGGGCAACCTGTGCCAGGGCCTCAGCACCCTCACAGGGAAGAACTTCTGCCTAAGAGCTCATCTCAATCTCCCCTCTGTCAGGTTAAAGCCATTCCCCCTTGTCCTATCCCCATCCTTGGCTGCACACACATGTACATCACTGAAGCAGGTCCCACGACTTCTCCCTGAGCATTGTTTCCCCTTGCCTAGACCAAGCCCATCTCATGCCATCACTTCACATCCACACCAGAATAGTGATGGTGTGACACCAAAATGGAGACACATGTGGGCAGCCACCAATCTACTGCAACTTTGAGGACAAATGTGCAGAAGCAGAAGTCCTCATGGCTCACCCACCACAAAGCCCCTGGGGTCATCAGGGTCCCTGCCAGAGCTGCCCAGCTCCTCTTGAGTCCATGCTGCCAGTTGTAGCTGAAATAAAAGAATTAATTTACTTTTTTTCTTTAATGCACGGATCATGTGCCTTGTTCTCATGGGGGACTTCAACCACCCTGATATCTGTTGGAAGGACAGTACGGCCCGGCACAAGCAATCCAGGAGGTTCCTCGATTGTGTAGAAGACAACTTCCTTCTGCAAGTAATAGAGGAGCCAACAAGGAGAGGTGCGGGCTTGACCTCGTCTCACCAACAGGGAAGGGCTGGTTGGAAATGTGACTCTCAAGGGCAGCCTTGGTTGCAGCGACCATGAGATGGTCGAATTTGAGAGCCTCAGGACAGTGAGAAGAGCGTGCAGCAAGCTCACTGCCCTGGACTTCAAAAGAGCAGACTTTGGCCTCTTCAGGAACCTGCTTCAGAAGGTTCCATGGGATACAGCCCTAGAGGGCAGAGGGGCCCAAGGCTGTTGGTTGATATTCAAGGATCACCTGCTACAAGCTCAGGAGTGTTGCGTCCCAACTAGAAGGAAGTGCAGCAGGAGGGCCAGGAGACCTCCTTGGGTGGATAAGGAGCTCCTGAGGAAAATTCAATTGAAAAGAGAGGCTTATAAAATGTGGAAGCAAGGACAGGAGGCCTGGAAAGAGTACAGGGATGTTGTCCGAGAAGCTAGGGACCAGGTTAGGAAAGCTAAGGCCCAGTTAGAATTAAACTTAGCTAGAGGTATTAAAAATAACAGGAAGGGATTCTATAGGTATGTAGCGAATAAAAAACAGACTAGGGAGAATGTAGGCCCCCTCAGGAAGCTCTCAGGAGAACTGGCTACACGGGATTTGGAGAAGGCTGAGGTTCTGAATGACTTCTTTGCCTCGGTCTTCACTGGCAAAGGCTCTGACCAAACCACCCAAGTCTTGGAAGGCAGATGAATGCAGGGACTGTGAGAAGGAAGACCTTAGGCGCACTGTAGGAGAGGATCTGATTTGAGACCATCTTAAAAACCTGAACGTACACAAGTGCCTGGGACCTGCTGAAATCCATCCACAGGTCCTGAAGGAGCTGGCAAATGAAGTTGCTAAGCTGCTGTCCATCATATTTGAGAAATCATGGCAGTCAGGTGAAGTTCCCGATGACTGGAAAAAGGGAAATATAACCCCCATTGTCAAGAAGGGGAAAATGGATGACCCAGGGAATTACAGACCAGTCAGTCTCACCGCTGTGCCTGGCAAAATCTTGGAGCAGATTCTCCTGGAAGGCATGCTAAGGCACATGAAAATCAACAAGGTGCTTGGTGACAGCCAGCATGGCTTCACTGAGGGGAAATCCTGCCTGACCAACTTGGTGGCCTTCTATGATGGAGCTACGGAACTGATGGACAGGGGTAGAGCAGTTGACGTCACCTACCTGGACTTGTGCAAAGCGTTCGACACTGTCCCACATGACATCCTTGTCTCTAAATTGGAGAGACGTCAATTTGATGGATGGACTACTCGGTGGATAAAGAACTGGCTGGATGGCCCCACGCAAAGAGTTGTGGCTCAATGTCTGGCTGGAGACCAGTAACAAGTGGCATCCTTCAGGGATCAGGGTTGGGACCGGTCTTGTTCAACATCTTTGTCGCTGACATGGACAGTGGGATTGAGTGTGCCCTCAGCAAGTTTGCCAATGACACCAAGCTGTGTGGTTCAGTTGATATGCTGGAGGGAAGGAATGCCATCCAGAGGGACCTTGACACACTTGTGAGGTGGGCTGATGCCAACCTCATGAATTTTAACCATGACAAATGCAAGGTCCTACACCTGGGTCAGAGCAACCCCAGGCACAGCTACAGGTTCGGCAGAGAAGAGATTCAGAGCAGCCCTGTGGAGAAGGACTTGGGGGTGCTGGTCAGTGAGAAACTGAACATGAGCTGGCTTCAGTGTGCGCTCACAACCCAGAAAGCCAACCGTATCCTGGGCTGCATCAAAAGGAGCATGACCAGCAGGTGGAAGGAGGTGATCCTGCCCCTCTGCTCTGCTCTTGTGAGACCTCACTTGGAGTATTGTGTGCAGTTCTGGTTTCCTCAACATAAAAAGGACATGGAACTGTTGGAACAAGTCCAGAAGAGGGCCACAAGGATGATCAGGAGACTGGAGCACCTCCTGTATGAAGATAGGCTGAGAAAGTTGAGGCTGTTCAGCCTGGAGAAGAGAAGGCTGCGTGGAGACCTCACAGTAGCCTTCCAGTATCTGAAGGGGCCTATAGGGATGCTGGAGAGGGACCCTTCACTAGGGATTGTAGTGATGGGACAAGGGGCAACGGGTTTAAACTTAAACAAGGGAAGTTTAGGTTGGATATAAGGAAGAAGTTCTTTACTGCTAGGGTGGTGAGACACTGGAATGGGTTTCCCAAGGAGGTTGTGAATGCTCCATCCTTGGCAGTGTTGAAGGCCAGGTTGGACAGAGCCTTGGATGAAATAGTTTAGTGTGAGGTGTCCCTGCTCCATGGCAGGGTGGTTGGAACTTCATGATCTTAAGGTCCTTTCCAACCCTAACTATTCTATGACTATGATTTTGTGTAATCGATGTCTCAGAATAGCCAGGCCTGTTCTATTGATGCTGCTGTCTGTCTGCCACTCCCTCTGAGAAGCAAACACAGGGCAGCTGTGCTGGTGTGGACCTGGTCCTCCCAGAGCAGGGAGATCGTGGGTTTTTCCAGCTCCCTTTCCCCCAGATCTCAGCACCATTTCACAAAAAGCAGAGATAGCAGATGACTCAGTGGGAAAAGCATTTTCCCAGGGCTGACAGGCACCAGAACATCCTCTCTGCCACTGCACTCCACCCATGCTCCAGCTCCTGCACTCAGCCTGCCAAGCTCCTCAGAAAACACAAAGCCAAGATGGGCATGAGGAAGAGGAGAAGTGGCCAGCACTAGCCAGGGCCAGCTGAGGGCAGAGACCTGCAGGGACACGTGTAACATTCCCCTCCCTTGCACCCAAAATCAGGGGCACTGGCCTCTCCCCCAGGTAACAACCTGGAGAGCTTGATTCCATCTCATGAGTGCCAAGGCAAAAATCCTGCAGTTGCCACCTTCCCAAGAAGGCAAAAGGCAGCAGGAAAATGCTGTCACCCCTTTCACCACCATCACAGTGAAGATGATTTTCCCACTGAGGAGCTGCTGGTCCAGCCAGCCCACCAGGGATGGAGATGCCAAATTGGTGGGCAGCTCTCCCATCATGGCTCAATCTACTCCTCCTCCCCAGCTCCAGTCCTGGTATAAACCCCATAGGAGCATAATCATCCCCAGCAGGTCCCCC